ACACTAATTGAATAGTGAAGTGATTGACGTTTGACATCAATTATTTGTCTTTAAAAATAACTTTAAGTGTTAGTTTTTCTATATTTTATAGTTTCGTTTTTTTTACATATTGTGTGTAATTAGTATTAATTTGTAAATATTATGATTTAATTTCATTCATTAGAAAAAATGTTGGCCATTATTTGTCAAATTTATTTTGTAATTGCGTGTTATTTGCCAATTAGTATGAAAAGTAAAAAAATATATATCTCATAAACCGTAAGTGTCCGCAACCTAAAACTTTGCAAAACGCTTTCTTTTAGTGAGTACTATCCACAAAAAAAAAATGGGCATTTAAATCGATGGTCCATATTGGAAATTTTAACCGTATTTATTTAACAAAAAAAATGAAATAAATTTACCTTTCATTATCCTTAGGTAATTTAAAAATAATATATATGAATCCTTTTGTTTGCTCATTATGCATCCATCCGCGCAACCATTATAGTACATTCGAAGTTTTGCCATTATAATTTATCAAATAGATAGGTTATATATATACACGTATATTATTTTTAAATCACATTATTTTTTTTTTCAACTATTTTATCCTACAATTAAATACTAAACACTAAACAAAAATTACAAAAAATTACAGCGTTAAAATAGATCAATCGCCTAGAACGCGCTAGCCCCGACCGCGTATTACACCCCGGGTGAATCGCGATTTTAGGTAGTTATTTCACGCAGGTAGCAAGAGTAACAGGGGCCTGCTACAACCAACCAACCAACAAACAAGACTAAAAATTAGTTGTCTTTGTTTGTGTAGGTTGTCAATGTGCGCATTAATATTGTTGTACCGTAATAGTTTATCGATATCGATCAAAATGAACGTTAAATAAAATGTGACAATATTTTATATTGTACATATATCATACATCATCCTTTCCTATTTTATATATACGTTTTCAGATTGGAAACGTACAAGATTTATAGAAAATGTATTAGACCGGGTTTGTTTTATAGGTACATATTTTTTGTTGAATATCATCACGGCCTATTCATATTCCACTTCTGGTACACTTATACGCCTATCTTACTATAAGCCAGATGGGTTGGTGAGGCAGAGGGATTCATTTGTGTTTTCGGATTGATTTATACAATACTAGCGTAGAAATCATCGGTACGAAATGATATTTTTATCTCATAGATTATTATAAATACTGTTACGCGCTCAAGTCGACGATACACTAGCGCCATCTAGTGTCAGGAACGAGAGCGAGGGGAGCATTGAGAAAATGACATCACAAATCACTCAACCGACAGCGCCTAGTCGAAACTCGAACGCTCGGTACCTTGCGCGTGTTTACTTGAACATTCTGGATATTTCTTTGCTAATTTAAATAAGTAGGAGCTGCAAGATGCGATCGGGGGGGTTGAGTTGAACTCGGCGACACAAGCGAAGCTTCGGAGCGGAATTAAGTGAATTAGTGTGTTTAATTATTAGTGTTTTAAGTTTTAATTTGTGTACAGTAAATTAAAGTGTAATTTAGGTAATTTTATCGGCAATTTTTATTGTCACGAACCTCAAGCTCGTAACAATTGGTGTCAGAAGTGGGATAAAATCATGACGATTTTACCTAAGGAGGAAACGGAGGGTGTCCGTACCCGAAGTCAACGCCAGCAGGAGACGGACCAACGAAGATTTGGTGGTGCAACGCCGCAGACTTCGGAGGGCCAGCCACCGGCTGCAGGCCCGTCGGTAGCTCCTACATCTGCAGCACCTGACTTAGGTGCTCTGATGGTGATGCTGCAGGAGCTGAAGCGCGGACAGGAGGAACAGGCCAGTCAGTTGAAAGAGCAGCAGGAGGAACAGGCCCGCCGATTGGAAAAGCAGCTGCGGGGCGGACAGGAGGAACAGGCCCGCCGATTGGAAGAGCAGCTGCGGGGCGGACAGGAGGAACAGGCCCATCGGTTGGAAGAGCAGATGCTCCTCATGAAGGACCTTCACGCTACCTTCGGGAAGGAGATAAAGGAGGTGAAGGATAGGGTTGCTCAGCATGACAACCGCCTGTCGGAAGCTGAAACCCAAATCGCGAAAGCTGAAAACCGAATCGAGAAAGCTGAAACCCGAATTGACCAAGTAAACAATCGGGTTGACAACGTAATGGCCGACATGAAGAAATCACTGGACGAACTCAAACTTGGAGATGGAACAACAGCTCCCGTAGTAGCTACAACACCTTCGCTACGTGGATTCAAAGTGCCGCCGTTCGACGGGACCTCTTCCTGGTCAGCCTACAAAATCCAGTTCGAAGCTGTTATGAAGGCGAACGGCTGGAATAAAAATCAGGCCATGACTGCTCTCCCACTAGGCCTGCGCGACCAGACCTTAACAGTTCTGGAAGCTCTCGGTGAGGAAGTGACTTATGAGCAACTCCTTGAGGCATTGGAGGTGAGATATGGCGACGCTCACCTGGAACACGTCTTTCGTGCGCAGCTTAAAGATCGCGTGCAGCGCATCAACGAAAACCTGCAGCAGTGGGCTCTAGAGGTGGAGAAGCTGGTGCGAAAAGCATACCGGTCTGTACCTGCGCTCATTGAAGGGAACCTGGTGCAGACATTCATCGACGGCATCCGTGACCTGGAAGTCAGAGCTGCTGTGAGGCTCGGGCACCACGAGACACTTAAGAATGCCTTGGCCCATGCACTGGAGGTGGAAGCCGTGCGGCAGGATCATCGTTCCCATCGCGTCAGGGAGGTTGCAGCAGCTACAGTCCGTGACCGCAGCAAAGGATACAGCCCTAGGTGCTATGGCTGTGGGGAGAAGGGCCATCTTCGATCCAGCTGCCCTAAACTAACCGTGGAAAGGAGAGTTGATCGATCTCGAGAGGGTAGTACAGCTAATGGCACTGCCTGGCGGCGACAGGATCATCGTTCACCTCACGCTAGGGAGGTTACAGCAGTTACGGTTCGCGACCACAATAAAAGATACAGCCCTAGGTGCTATGGCTGTGGGGAAAGGGGCCATCTTCGGTCCAGCTGCCCTAAGCACACCCTAGGAAGGGAAGGTGAACGGTCTCAGAAAGGACGTGCGGCTAACAGCACCGCCCAGCAGCAGCAGGAATACGACTTTACTATCAGGCACTGCAGCGGGAAATCTCACGGCAACGCAGATGCATTGACAAGAAGACCTTGTCCTGAAGATTGCAACCATTGTCGTAGGCAAGAGAGTAAGGAAGTGGTATCCGTGAGGATGCTCAGGACAGACCACCTCAGCAACGGGTGGAAGGACAGCCTACGACATGCACAGCAGGAAGATCCGGACATCAAGCCGATTCTGGGATGGATGAAGGCCCGTGCTACCAAGCCTAAGTGGAGGGACGTCTCAGCGATGAGTTCAACCACGAAAAGCTATTGGGTCCAATGGGACAGCTTGCTTATTCAGGATGGAGTCCTGTGCCGTAAATGGGACAATGGTCGAAGGGACAGCTGTCGTTTGCAAATGGTTGTCCCTAAAGCTAAAGTGCCGAATGTTCTACAGCTGTGCCATAATGGTCGTTCAAGAGTCCATCTGGGAGTTAAACGAACTCTACTGAAGGTCCGAGAACAGTTTTACTGGGTCCATTATCGTGACGATGTCGAGGATTGGTGTCGTACATGTACAAGTTGTGCGGCCGTGCGGGGACCTCAGACACGTAGTAGAGGAGCACCGAAATTGTACAATGTTGGTGCACCACGGGATAGAACAGCCCTTGACATTGCGGAGCCGTTACAGAAAGGCGCAAGAGGGACTCCTAAGATCGTCCATGTGAATCGCTTCGCGCGTTATTATGGGGCCGATAATGCTCGGGACGAGCATGTCTTAGGAGGGGGCAGTGTTACGCGCTCAAGTCGACGATACACTAGCGCCATCTAGTGTCAGGAACGAGAGCGAGGGGAGCATTGAGAAAATGACATCACAAATCACTCAACCGACAGCGCCTAGTCGAAACTCGAACGCTCGGTACCTTGCGCGTGTTTACTTGAACATTCTGGATATTTCTTTGCTAATTTAAATAAGTAGGAGCTGCAAGATGCGATCGGGGGCAGAGTTGAACTCGGCGACACAAGCGAAGCTTCGGAGCGGAATTAAGTGAATTAGTGTGTTTAATTATTAGTGTTTTTAGTTTTAATTTGTGTAAAGTAAATTAAAGTGTTAATTTAGGTAATTTTATCGGCAATTTTTATTGTCACGAACCTCAAGTTCGTAACAATACATAGATTGCCGAAAATTAAAAAAAATCCAGGCGATAAGCAAGGCGACTGTACAGCCTGACACAAACTTTTAGATGGCGGCCGGCAATGTGTGGCCTGTCACTGCTCAGGGTTGCTAGAAAGTCACTAACAACGCCCTCATTTACTCTATATTTATGTTATGTTTTTCTAAAATAGAAAATGGATTGTATACCGTAAATGTAACAGTTGTAAAAGCACGTGGCAGCTTTTGCTGTCACACGGATGGGCCGGCACAAACCGGAGTGGTACCATGACCTCACAGAATACCAGCGTAAAGCAGAGAATTATTTCTGTGTTTCGCTTGGTGAGTGCAGGTGGCCGGAGGCCCAATTCCAAAAAAAAGCCCCCCCCCTCCTTAATATGGTAGCGGAATTAAGAGAAGATCTACCCCAGGAGGGTACCAGCACCCCTGGTGACGAAGTATCTTGACTCATGCCAATGTCTAAAGTTGCCTGAATTTCGCGGTATGTCACATATCGATCTTCCTCAATCAGCTTACGCACAGCATCAACGTTTTCTTGGGAGTGGTAGTCTACTCAGTGTCCTCTCAAAGCCAAAGAACTCTTAGCTCCAAAATTATGCTTCTTTGCGAATTTCATTTTCAAGATCCTTGGCGATAGTATTAGTATAATTTTTTCCAAAATTCATACACAACACATACTTCCGTATGGCCACTCGAACAACTGTGTTGTTTAATTGTTTCTGATAAATGCTTCCAATCCCGAATTCCCGTACACCAAACATTATTCCTTTGTGAAGCAAATAACCAGCAAGGTTGAGAACAGGCAGCGTCTAGTATTTTGAAATAGCACAACCAAAACGATTAACTGGTCCATATTTAGAACTTGAAACTTAGTACGATTTTGAAAAACACTATTGTTCTGGTTGATGTCTGTTGGAAGAAGTCCTGAAGGCTGTAAAGGCCCTATATCAAGAATTTGACGTTTTTCGTTATCACTTAATATTTTGTTCGTGAAGTTTCCCAATTCATAAGAAGATTTATCATACATATTTTCGAAAAATGTAGAGGTCTGTGGTTCCTCCAAATCCTCTGCTCTTATATGTGCCATGCAAACATCATCCACGTTCACATGATCGGCGGCGGAGGTATCTCCTGCTGCAATAACTGTCGAATCTTCTTCTGTAGGCTTCTCAACCAACACTACAGTTACCACATTATTTGAGTACTAGAAATATTTTGTCCAGAAGTACTTGCAAAAGGCTGACTAAAAAATTTGTCAATTTTGAGCAATTTTTGTTTACTATCTTCTTTTTCTTGGCGTTGTTTGTGTTAAAATGCACCACTGGGTTACTTCTTTTCGTCTATAATTTTAGTTTTCTAATTGATTTATGCAATCTTTATATTAGATTGTACTCGAGTAGGTACTCACTGTTCACTGACGACGTTAAAAGTAAAAGAAAAGAGAAACTTAATGATACGTTACAAGACGTTGTTGAATCCCCGGCTAAAATTTTATCACTGCTAGTGTTAGCTGATTTAACCGTGGAGACCAGGAACTATCTCCTCGCACGTGGGCCTGAATTAATGCACCTACTGGAGGTGATCTGCATTTTTTTCACGTTATTTAGCGTTATACAATGAGTAGCCGAAATCTATAGATTTAACATGATTTATTGACGTAACGGACATCAATATCAGTGTACTAAAATCAAATAAAATTCAACCACTATATTGACCAGTACTAAAAAGTTTATCGATATTAGCTTACTTACTCCTGACACAGCATAAATTTTTTTACCGTTCTCGAAAAAAAATCTTGACTAGAATTCGCAATAAAACGCACATCAATGAATAAAAAAACGCACATATCACTATCCGTCAAATTGACAGCACTACCAACCCACAGAAAGAATTTAGGGGAATTCCCTGTATAACTTTGGAATTTCTCTTAACTGAATTGTCATGATTAGAGTCGGGTTGCAACCTGTAATATTTATTTTGAAAATGGGAGAAATTTTTAAAATTTCAGTTCGATCGCAATTTTCTGGTAAGAATGGGACCCCCTGAGATTGAGGGCCCCGGGGCGCTGCCCCGCCTAGCCCCTGGGTAGCTACGCCACTGTTAACAGTACTAGGTACAGAAACAGAAACCTTTTATTCAATTTAGATTATAATTAATACTTACTGAAAGTAGTTTTTTTTAATTTACCACTGGTTCGGAAAAAACCTCTGTCTTGAAGAGAACCAGCAAAATACCCAGTGGATCTTTATAAAAAAAGTAACAGCTTACAATCATGTATGTTATAATTAACAACACAGAACAAATTAGAAATAGCTTGGTAGCGATCACTTTACCCACGGGTGATGTCATCCATAAATTCCTTTATACTATAATAATCCTTTTTATACAAACTTGTTTATTATATTTTATATAATTTTTTAAACTTTGATGATTGACTGAGATAGACAGACAGGAGCGGTGTCAAGACTTTGTATTAATATGTTTTGGTTGATTAGTAAGTAGTCTAATCATAATAAAATGACTGGCATTAACATGCTTATCTATGTTATTACACAATGATAAATAGTGAGGAAGTAAGATTTTTTAAACTGTTTGTGTAAGGATTACAAAACACAGGCATAATTTAAATGTATTTATTACTAGCGATGCGCCACAGCTTTGCACCGGCGATTTATGGATCTCGATAACAGTGCCATCTACCGGGTCCAAATGCAAATATAAACCATCTAGGGTTCCATCCAAACACATACAAACATTTTCATTGAAATTGGTTGGATGGTTTCTTATGTTTTGTCTATAACGCACATAGGTAGAAACATTTTAGTGTTAGATATATTTCTGAAGGTTTTTGAAAACAACTTGACGGTAACATGTACATTTATGATATTGTAAGTTTGTAAGCAATCAGAAGGGCATTTTCAATGATAAGAGATATGATATAAGACTGTTGTCTTCAATATCCATACATTTTTTGTCTCTGAAAGCTTTCAGCCTGCAAGACATACAGATTTGTTCTAAGTGATCTTGCATTTGCCATGTTGTAAAAAATTCTGAACTTAGTTTGATTTATGATATTGATTTATAATTTTAATTTCATGTTGCCACATATTACTTATTTATAAAGGTACATATTATTTAAAAATGGTATAACTAAAGTAATCGCTACTCTCAACTCGATAAACTTTTTTCAAACTCGATGCAAAGTCTGTAAATTGTCGATTTACTCGAAAACTAGTGTACCTACAACTAGAATGACATACATACATAAATTAACCCGAGTAGCTCGAGTCACAAAATTCTACTGGCCGTAAGATAAAGATGCGACATCTTTATCTTACGGCCAATGCAGTGTTTGTTTATAATTTAGTGATGAAATCGACTTACTAATTCGAGCAATTTATTGATACAGGTAATATGTTTATAATGTAATATCAATTTATGTTATATATAACATAAATTGATTAAATATACTTTGTGATAGTCAAATTATTAACCTTTTGAGTGCCACGCCGAAAACGCATTACCGTGTCCTGTACGCCTTACGTTTATATATCGATAACACAAAAAAACTTGTTTTTGTTGTTTTTTTATGCAATAAATGACTCTTTATAATCTGTTGTGTTTTATTTAGTCTTGCACTCTTTTTATATATGTACTTTGTACATAAATAAAAAACAAACAATAACAATAAAATGGTAGTAAACCACATCACTACTCTCCATCGTGATGACGTCAATGTCATGACTGGACGACAATGGCGTAGCTGACCTTCCTTTTTGAAACTTTTTTAGAGATATAGCCGTGTCGCACATTGTGTATTGATTTTGAATCGATCTAACCAAAATATAGACATCGATTCAAAATATTTTGTATCGGGGGAGGCGTAGGCCAAGTGAAGCACTTCTGTGCTGAAAGGTCTTACGCTCTTATGACAATGGGGATTGATATGAAGATGATGCAGCCAGATGATTTTGAGACAGAAAGAAAATCGCACAACACAAAATGAAAAATTGCTCTTCACCTTTACCTTAAGTAAAAAAAACACATTATTTGTAATTTTATATTATTAAAATAAAAAAGTACATAATTATTTACTAATCAACAATTGTATATAATAATTCGCACTAGGTAAATCAGTCTTATAATATTAAAATCTTGCTTATGGAAAAAAAATCAGTACATATTTTAGAAATCAACAAATGGTAAATAATTATTCACCAATCAATCAAAAATTCAGTTCATCAATCAAAATTCATCATCATCGACGTTTTCCGAAATTGCGAATGAGTTATGTGGAATCGTTCGTGTTGCACTGCACTACTTTTCCTGCTAATCACTTATGACGTCATCAGGGTGTCTATCCTTAACCACGGCGCCCAGTGAACTGATTTTCGATGACGCGCTAATGATGCGCCAGAGTTGAAATATTAGATTTATTATACGAAGTTGATTTGATGAAATTTTCTTTTATTTATGTAGCTGGTGATAGTTTTATGTTTCTTACCTTTTGTTTTATTCAAATATCAATAATAATGTAAAAAATAACACATTTGCGTTTAGTTTTAAATAGCTTTCAATAAATCTACGCCTAACGCATTACAATACTAGCGGTCGAACATAGATGACTTTGGCGTGCTGGACATAGTATTTGCTTAGATAAAAATCCATTTTTTTAGTTCAATGTTTCTTAGTACTTGTGGCTCCAAGAGACTTGTTTTTTATACTCACATGTTGCTGGGTTATTCATTTTTGAGGAGTGTAGAATTAAAATACTAGTAATAATTTTCCAATATCTATATTTCATATTTTTGTAGGCCGGGTTTATTGTCAACTATAGACGTCGTTGGCGCTCAGGGCCCGCAGGTGCTGGTCAAGTATAGGCGACTTTGGCGCTCAAAAGGTTAAACAAGCGCATTTAGCTGCGCACCTAATAATTGTAGCCGGCACTTGTCCGCACTTTAGTCGGTTTGGCAACCGCGGTTTTATATTTTTATATTTTAGTTTTAAGGCTGACCTGCATGGCAACTATGGCAAATATCCCTTTTGGAGACAATGCATGGGGGAAGCCTATGTTCACAGCAGTGGACTTTTATACATTGTAACGGTAACGATAAACGTCAAAATGAAAAAATTAAAACATTTTAAATTTCAAAGTGAAAGTCTGGTCTGTTTCCACTAACCTCCCATTTGGTTCATATTTTAAGTTTCGTTTTTTTTTGGGTTTTTGAATTAGCTTCTTTCGAATAAATGCATTTTCAATTAGAACATACGACATGGAAAAGTTTTTTGCCACTTTAATAAAATGTTCATAAATGAATTTTTAACTAGTATACTTTAATATTTTTATAAAGAACGTTTACGTAATGTACATATTATACCAGATATTTCACGAAAAAGGTTTTTCTGCGGTATGTATTTTCATAAGTGTTTGCAAATTACTTTTTTGAATACTTTTATATTAACAGATATGAAACGAAGAAGGTTTTTCTCCGGTGTGTATTTTTAAGTGTCTTCTCAAAGAAGTATTTCATATACATTTATAGTCACAGATATAACACGAAAAAGGTTTCTCTGCGGTATGTATTTTCATATGTGTTTGCAAATTACTTTTTTGAATACATTTATATTCACAGATATTACACGAAAATGGTTTTCTCCGGTATGTTTTTTCATGTGTTTGCAAATTACCTTTTTGAATACATTTATATTGTTACGCGCTCAAATCGACGATACACTAGCGCCATCTAGTGTCAGGAACGAGAGCGAGGGGAGCATTGAAAAAATGACATCACAAATCACTCAACCGACAGCGCCTAGTCGAAACTCGAACGCTCGGTACCTTGCGCGTGTTTACTTGAACATTCTGGATATTTCTTTGCTAATTTAAATATATAGGCGCTGCAAGATGCGATGGTAGGTAGTGTTGATTTGGCGAAACAAGCGAAGCTTTGGAGCGGAATAAAGTGAATTAGTGTGTTTAATTATTAGTGTTTTTAACTTTAATTTGTATAAAGTAAATTAAAGTGTTAATTTAGGTAATTTTATCGGCAATTTTAATTGTCACGAACCTCAAGCTCGTAACAATTGGTGTCAGAAGTGGGATAAAATCATGCCGATTTTACCTAAGGAGGAAACGGAGGGTGTCCGTACCCGAAGTCAACGCCAGCAGGAGACGGA